TAAGCAGCTTTAAGTTTTGATGGTAAATGGAATTAAGAATAAAGAAAAATAGAAGGCATTTTAAGGATAACAATACTGTATATTGATCATGTTCTATAGTTTTTTCAGCTGGTCAGTATACTACAGAAGATGAGAAATTGCTGATGGGTTCAATTAGCTGTGGAATTGGTAGCATGAAATCAAGGTCTATGTGTTTAATTCTAGTTCTCCAGCTTTTTTTTTTTTTTCCTGCTTTAACAAGAATCTCTGAATTTCAGTAATGTATGTTGTTGTTGTTGTTATGTGCCGTCGAGTCGACCCCGACTCATAGCGACCCCTCCTTGGGTTTCCGAGGCAGTATCACTACGGAAGTAGGATTGCCCAACCTTCCTTCCGAGGAGTGGCTGGTGGGTTTGAACCGCCAGCCGTCTGGTTAGCAGGCAAGTGTCTTAGCCACTATGCTACCAGAGCTCCTTCAGTAATGTATAGGACTGAGTTTTCTGTTTCTCAAACTTCTCTGACTTAAACCCTGAAAGCAAAAGCAGGGGACATTCTCACAGATTAAACCAGTGTCAACTTAAGGATAAAGTGATTAAATAACAATTCCTGGCCATCAATTGTGAATTTTGGTGTTGGTTTTTTTTTCCCCCTCACACACATGATATTTCCCCGACATCTGTGCAATACAAATATATCTAGAAAGTGTGAAAGGGAAAAGCTGCTCTACTAAATATATAAAAGAGACCCTGAATGAAGACTCCATGATAGCATTCGTCACGATAGGCACAGATGGCTTCCTTCTCCAGCATCTCCCCAACATTCCAGCTTAAGTTTATGCCAACTGAATGTCCCCCAAAATATTACAATGCAACAGACATCTAATAACATCAGAAGAGCCTGTCTGTACATTATTCTTTATTTTTCAGTCCTCCAAGTGCATTAAGCTTTGTGCCAATAAATCAGAACAAGTGTGGATTCTGAACTAATAATGTGAAGAGTGCACATCACTTGTTGCTATGGGAAGCCAGATGTTAGTGTCCTTTGTGATATCTTCCCAGTAAGTTGTGGCATTCTCATCATTCTGCACAGAGTGCTTATCACTCTCCCTGCCCATGTCACAGACCATGGAAGCTACCAAGTAAGGCCCTCATATCCAAACATTATTGTGTATGGAATATAAAATTACCTCTATATTGCCCTAAAATCCAAAGGTGATACAAATGGTTAACATGATCAGCTGCTAACCACAACTTACTGGGAAGATATCACAAAGGACACTAACATCTGGCTTCCCATAGCAACAAGTGATGTACACACTTCACATTATTAGTTCAGAATCCACACTTGTTCTGATTTATTGGCACAAAGCTTAATGCACTTGGAGGACTGAAAAATAGGTTGATGGTTTGAGTTCACTCAGAGGTGCTTCATAAGAAAGGCTGGTGATCTACTTCTGAAAACTCCACCACTGAAAGGCCTACGAACATGCACGGAATCACCATGAGTCATAGTCCTATCCATGGCAACTGGCTGTTTTGTTTGTTTGTGTAAATATTACCTTGTTTCCTAAAGTATTTAAGGAAGGTTTAAGACACAAATGCATGGCATTTTGGTTTCAATTTGTAAGAAATACAAGTATACTCTGAACAAGACATCAGAGAACTCCATCTGACATTGGACCTCATAATCTGGAGAAGTAATGCTTATGAATGAACCCCAGAAAAGAGAAACAGTTATGGTAGGTAGGGTATAGAGCTCTGACTCCTACATGTGACAGGACAGAGTGGGGTTAAGAAGGTACTGCCACTACTCTGGCATGTATTTTATGTATGTAAGGATGTTACATACATAAACATGGCCGGATGGCACTAAAAAAGTCAAATAAGAAGAAGAGGAAGAAGAAGGAGAAGGAGAAAGAAAGAAAAGCATAATGGAGAACCAGAAAGGGAAACTGTCGGATGAGTATGAGGAAACACTTATGACTGCAAAAGTTATTCAGCTGTGAAACACCTCAGTGGTGAGAATAAATATGCTTTATTTGTTGAAATGATCATTAATATTTTTCATCCTCCAATTTGCTCAACTGCATAAACCAACAAGGGAGCTCTGGTGGTGCAGTGCCTAAGGCATTTGACTGTTAACCAGAAGGCTGGCAGTTCAAACACACCAGTCATTCCTCAGAAGGAACGTTGGGCAATCTACTTCCATAGTGATATTTCCTTCTTGGAAATCCAAGAAGGGGTTGCTATGAGTCGGATTCGACTCCATGGGAGTGAGTTTGGTTTTTGGTTTATAAACTAACAAAAACAGTCATAGAATCATGGTGTTAAGAGGGACCGCTGGGATTACCTGATTTAACTCCCTACTTGTAAAAGAGAAGAAACTAAACCTCAGAGAGGTAAAGTGACTTGAGAAAAAAAAAAAAAAAAGCCATACAAAATAATTCACATAATTTTCCCTAAAAGCCCCTGTACTTAAAAGCTCCACAAGGCTGCAATACAAAAAGGGCAGTGGGTGGGTATTGAACTTCCTAGTTTCTTAGGGATAATCTCCCCTTTGTTATAAAATAGGACAGAAAGGTGGTAAATAGGAGATAAATGGGAGTCTTGTCATAAATTATGAGTATTTGTTAGATATCAGTCTGATGGGCCATGAAAACAAGTAGGCTGGCCCAGAATGATGGCTGTCTGCAAACTGTAGGTCATTTCAGAAGCCTATGGTGTTTAAATGGGCTTTGAATAAATATTTAGCATAGTCAGTGGCATTCTCCAAGAGAGGTCCATCATTATAGCAAACTCTGGGTTCATAGAACAGAGATTTGGGAAAAAAGGTCCCAGAAGGGAGGCTTATACCTTCTGTGTAAGTGCAAGTTAAAGGAGAGTGTTTAGGCTGAAAAGTTTCCTTCTAAGACCACATCAAAACAAAACAGGGCAGTTATCAGATAGATTTTATCAGAACAGACAATCCAGTTCACTAAGGTAACAAATAAATATTCATGTGCAGCATTTGAGCTTACTGTTTACACTGTTTCTTTATTAAGGCTGAACTGGAGCTCATCTCTGAGGCAGCATGGGGAAAGGCCTGGATTAGAGTCCTGGGTCCTATGTCCATGAAAGTCTTATATAACCTCCCTGATATCCACATCTGACTCACAGAGCTAAGAATTCCCACTACTTCCTGCCTATATAATTACTGAGATTTTTGGTTTTTTTTTTTTTTTTTAATCTGACATCCACTCAATAAACGCTCCTGAGAACATGCTATGTACCAGGCAAGGTAATAGGTGCTGGAGGTATGAGAGATGAATATAGCAATGTCCTTGTCCTCAAGAAACTTGTGCCATATGTCAGACAAGGACGATGTGGCACATTTTCAACTCATGTAACTGCAATATGATAAGTGCTACCTTACTTAGCAGTATGAACAAAAAGATATGGGAGAACAGGAGAGGGAGTGATTAATTATGCCTCACAAAACAAACCAAAAAAAACAAACTCACTGCTGTCAAGTCGGATCTGACTCATAGCCATCCCTCCTTGGGTTTCTGAGGTGGTATCACTACAGAAGTAGATTGCCCAACCTTCCTTCTGAAGAGTGGCTGGTGGGTTTGAACTGCCAGCCTTCTGATTAGCAGGCAAATGCCTTAGGCACTACGCCACCAAAGCTCCCAAGGTACTGTTATTCCAGGATGTTATTTTGATTGTAACTTTTTAAAAACTCACTGTCGCACTGTGAAAAACAGTGTGCATAAACAAGAATCGATGGCTAAACACTTCAACAATCTCTAAATTACAAAAACTACTGTAAGCACATGACAACATGCTCTTTGGCTGCTTAGAACAATCATCACCTCACTTATTTTTATAAGAAACAATGCTAGTATGTTTTATGAACAATACCAAATTATATCAAGGAAAATAAGTCTGATGTGATTGCCAATTACTGCGTAGGATCAAATGGTTACCTAGAGTCTTTCCTTATAAACAAACAAAAAATCAATCATGAAAGTAAGCTACAGTCACAATTATTCCCAAAAGTCAGGGTTATGATGGATAACTAAATTCACAAATAAGGACAAAATCTTTTATCCAATTAACTCAATGTGATTCAACACCCCCTAAAAAATATTTTTGCTATAATTGACAAAAATAATAAAATGACTTGTTTGATCTGGCTAATTTCATATGGACAAAAAAAAATGGTAATATATATATATATATATTGCAAGTTCAAAAATAAACCATCAATTCTATAATCAGTCTCTGATTTCATATATGCTTTGAGATAATTATTTGCCTTGCTCAAACTGAATAATTTTTCTTACTTCTCCTCCAGTTATCACAGAATGTTGGAACGAGGAGGAACCAAAAGAAATCAGCTAATCCAACTTACTCACTTTATAGATATCCCCATGATCATATCTGGCCTTTTAATAATATTTCCTTTATTAGTAATCATATCTGAGGCAAATATCATAGAAAGTAAAGCCTAAAGTTATCTTGTAAAGCATCTGTCTTTAAAAACCAGTGTAAAAGAAATCAAGTCAAATGATGCCACATATACAAGTAATAGCAACTGCAGTCTCTTTATATGATGCATCAATAGGTTGTCCAACCCAGGATCGCCTCCCTACCAAGTCAATAATGTTACAATCTAAATAAACTTAGGCAATTTTTCTGCAGGAAAACACTACCCCAGACAAAAAGAGAACTGTCATTCCGCAAAGCAGCACACTGCACTAAAGTGGGATTCCAGAATTAGTCAGAACATGATTTATTAAATGGAATACTCTAAAATCCAATTGCGTGTAGGGCTAAGAATAAAAATAGTGCTACATTTTGCCAACGCCACATTCCAGAGCAAGTAGCAAACAGAAGGCACTGCAACAGGGAATTTACCACACTTTATTTCTCTCCCAAATAGGCACACACAATTATACAAGGGTCGCCATGTGGACGCTAATCCCTTCTTAGTGGAAAATACACATTTTCAAAATGAATCCCCAATCTAGAATGAATTACCGTAATAGCCACAGCCGGAGCGAGTCCGCTGATCAGTAACGCAGATCTGGCCACCTGCTTTGAGACGCCTTGGACCACAACACTGCTGGGATCTTTAAAGGCTGGCCTTTTCGGGTAGGGCATCTGCCCTGCTAAATTGCGTTTAAATCCCAGGAAAAGAGAGATGATGCCTCACTTAATCTTTCAACTATGCTGCTCTTCCTGTATCCATTTCTGCTGAACACAGCACCGTTATCTTTTCAAGAGAGGAAAGAAAAAATAAATAAATAAAGGAGGGGGAAGAATTGCACCACTGCAGATCCCAAGAGAAGTAAGCACAAAACGACAGCAACGTCAAATTAATATCCTCAGCACCTAGGAAAATCCCCACATGCTATCTGGTGTCAGACCAATGCAGAATGGGGCGCACTGTGCCTGTAACCACAAGAAGCCGGGCGGCTCTGCAGCCTGTGTCCCTGCCAGTTCCCCCCACGCGCTGAAATTCAGCAGGCAAGAAGTTATGATGCCCAGTCTCTCTGTGTATAAGACAGACAGATCATGCACTCACACTCCCCAGATCAGCCAAGTGGCCGGCGTCAAAACAGCAAGCAATCAAAAGAAGACACAGTAGTCAGGGATGGAGGAAACACATTATTTGAGCTCTCGGGTTTTGCTGCAGTGTCCGGGTCTGGGAATATAGGGGTGGGAGGACGCGCACCTCCAGCCAGAAACGGACCAAAAGCGTTTTTCCCAGCGGCTGTCTGTACAGATCGCAATACAGTACTGTAGGCGACATGACTGGGTGCTCCCGCTAAAACTCAGATGACAGGCCCGGCTGAGCGGTGCAGTGGGCCAGGGGCAGGGAAGGGCTGGGGGAGAACCCACGCCTTGCATCCCTCCACCAACACCCAGCAGGGCAGGGGCCAGATCTGGCCATGCGCTCCTAGAGCCCGCACAGCAGAGGCTTTGGGCACTCTCTGCTAACCGCTGGCAATGAATGAGACACAATTGTCCAAAAGCGAGCCCAAGGCAAAGCCCAAATCTAGAGCTTTGGTTCACAAGAGGTGGATGTGGGATGGGAAGGGGGATTACGTAGGACTATACTCTCCCTCCCCTGACAACTCCTAGCCTCAGGGAGGGCGCTGGGAGTGGGGGAGGCGCCTCTAACTCGCTTGGGGGCTTCTTTGTTTCTCTTGGTGCCCCGCAGGAGGGCCTGGTGTGCTTGCTGTACCCAAGCCAGGGTCGCTAGGCAGGGATACCTGCCCGGCCCGGCGGCAGCGCGCCCCAGGCTGACAATTGAACCTCGCGGGAGAAGCAAGAGGGTGGGGAGAAGGGTGGATCCTGGGCCCTGGGGAGGGAGGGAGCTGCCGGGGCCTCGGGAGCGACAGAGAAACCGCCAGAGAAGGGCGGGGGAAGGGGCGGAAGGCAGAGTCCCCGCAAGGCGCCCACTTACCTTGGCAGCCCAGGCCTGGGCACAGATCATGCTCCAGTCAGCGGGCAGCTTATAGCCGGGGGGCGCACGTGCCCTGCATTGCGCCCTGGGCGCCGTGGACTTGCCAGGGGTACCTGGGCCCCCGCCCGTTCTCGCCGCACTCTGGCTGCGAGTGTTCGGGAGGAGCGGCTGCCACTTCCAAGGCAGAGAGGCGCGCGCTGCTTGGTGAGTGTGTGAGCGAGGGCCCGGCGCGGTCAGAGACGCACCGTATTCCGGCTCCCAACACAGCGCCTGATGCGCGGTAACGCAGCGCACTTCCTCGCTTTATCCTCTCTCGCACGCATCCCCTCCCTCCCTGCTCGCTCTTCTCTGGGTACCAGACTCCTCCCAAACCAACCAGGAGCCAGGCTTCCTCTCTTTAGCGCTGCCCCGCCCTGCAGCCTCTGGGCAACCCCCCCCCCCTTCCTCCGCCCCCACCATAAATATATATTGATTCTTGTTACCACCCGCACCATCCTTCCAACACTCAGCAACGGTACTGGAAATAGCCAGTACCAGCCCGGCCCATCACCCTTTTGTGTAAGTGCAAACAATGTGTTTTGAAAGGATGCAGCGCAGACATCCTAGACATGTATCCTAAGACAGATGTTCTTGGCCTTTGTGGTACACACTTTCCCCATCTATCTAACTCACAGCTATATACACTAACATACTCAGGTCCAGCACAGTCCTGTCTTTGCATTGCAAAGGTACAAAATAAACATCACAATCACAGATGGAAAGAATGAAAATAACCCCAGCATATCTGTTGTTGGATAAATCTGCTTTTCAAGATGGATTTTATATTAACCTGTACACAGTGTCAAAATGCTCCAACTGGAAGAAAGCTACTTCTAAATCCCTCCTTGTACAGCCCACAGAGATACAAAGAGCAATGACCTGTTGGAGGCCCTTGCTGTTAGTGACTGTGCTGGTTGCTCCATGTGTGTAAATCTATGTACATTTGACCAGTATTTGGTCTGTATGTCCCTCATAAGATGTGGTCATTTTAAGCACATTATTTCCATAGTCTGTGATTCTACAATCTAACTGCTTTCTTCACAATGCTTATTTCCTGATTGGCATTCTCCTGCCTGGAATCCCCATACAAGAGATCTTTCACATCTAAAAAGTTACCTTCTTTATCATATTCAAAACACAGCCCTCTTCTAGAATAAATAAAAGATTGGGATTTATTGATGTCCTAAGCTCACACCTCCCAAAGCCAAGGTCCCTGCCTCCCTTCCCCCAAATGCTGGCATGTTCTTGCTTCTAGGAGGTTCTCACTGACCCACTGTTAGCTTTGATCTCTCTCTCACACACACACAACTTTCCAGAAGGGGAAACCCGGGAGATACAAGGGCAGCTTCACCATCTGCAACCTCTCCTGGGAGGAGGCACAGGTCATCAGGCATCCCTGCCCTTACCCCACCCAGTCTGGTTCTCTTCCAGCCCCTGGTTCTCCTGGCTGACAACTTCTTGCCTGACGGCAGTCAGATCTCCCTGTCAGATGAGCTCAAAACTCAACTCTCACCTAGGATCCATCCAGAAAGCTGGGTCCACATTTGTCCAGGAGATTCTACAATTGAATTAGTGTCAACTTCTCTCTGAAGAAAACTCTCTAGGAATGAATTTCAGGCTGCAGCAATGTTGTTGTTCTGTGCTGTCTAGTTGGACCCGACTCATAGCAACCTCTCCTTGAGTTTCCAAGAGGATATCACTGTGGAAGTAGATTGCCCAGCCTTCCTTCTGAGGGGTGGCTGGTGGGTTTGAACTGCCAGCCTTCTGGTTAGCAGTCAAATGCCTTAGGCACAATAGGCAGCAACATTAACCCATTCTATGAATGTTTCCAGTCAGAGACTTGAAAGGAAACAAAAATTCTGCCATCAACTAGCACCTGTTAATCCAAACTAGCGTAGTAACACCAAACTAGAATAACAAATTATTCTTCAGTTCAACCGATGGCCAGGATGCTCATTTCATTATTTTCAGCAGTGCAGATCGCCTTGGCTCATCCATCTCTCTCTCAGTTGCATCAATCATGGAGAGGACTTGACCATGAAGAGGACTTCTCTCATAAGGTCATTGATGTTACAGTCCAGAGGTGTTTTAATTGCTCCAGGCTGCTTTTTTAACACTGAAGGCAAAAGTTATGAAAGTAGAAGTATACCAAGTTTCACATTTTTTCACCAGAAAAAGAAATTCCTGTATAATGCTTACTGTTAATCTCCACAGTCTCACTGCAATCTGAGTAGAATAGCCCTATTTTACAGGGGTAAAAAAAAATCAAGATTATGTTGGTTCTATAACTTCCTTTGGGAGCTCTGGTAGCTTACTTACTACCTAAGGCACTTGACTGCTAATCAGAAGGCTGGCGATTCAAACCAACTAGCTGCTCCTTGGAAGGAAGATGGGACAATCTACTTCTGTAGTGACACTGCCTCCGAAACCCAAGGAGGGGTCGCTATGATTCGGGTCCGACTCGAGGGCACATAACAACAACAACAACCACATAACTTCTTTTAGCTCTCATAGTGAGAAGACCTCAAATCTAGAGTTAATTGACTTTAGCTGCTCTAACCTTAAAGAAGGAGCTCTGGTAGAATATTGCCTAAGGCATTTGACTGTTAACCAGCAGGCTGGTGGTTCAAACCTACCAGCCACTCCTCCAAAGGAAGGTTGGACAATTTATTTCTATAGTGATACTGCCTCGGAAACCCAAGGAGCGGTCACTATGAGTCAGATATGACTCTATGGTAGTGTGTTAGTGGAACCTTAAAGAAATAAATAAAGTTTGATGGAGAAATAAAAAGACTGGCAGTAAATATTAAAAACTGACTTACTTTTATTTACTTATTAATCATATTTGTCAAGTATCCAATATGCTTCAATAGGCATTGGTAGCTCAGTGGTGGAATTCTTACCTTTCATGAAGGAGACCCATGTTCAGTTCCTGGCCTGTTCACCTCATGGGCAGCCACCACCCATCTGTCAATGGAGGCTTGCATGTTAGTATGATGATAAAAAGATTTCAGTGAAGCTTGTAGGCTGAGGCAAACTAAGAAAAAAATGCTTGGTGATCTATTTCCAAAAATCAGCCAGTGAAAATTTTATGGATCACCATGGTTACATCTGCACCTGAACATGGGGATGACACAAGACCAGGCATCATTTCCCCTAGAGTAAAAACAGTGAGAGCCTAGTCCTGCTGATGCCCTGGATTCAGACTTCTAGCCCCCAGATCAGTAAGAAAATAAATTTCTGTTCTTTAAAGCCACTCACTTGCAGCATTTTGTTATGGTAGCCCTAGGAAACTAAGACAGTTGCTTTCACAAGACAAATTCTACTAAGATTGATGGAGTTCAATTTATCAACCCTTACATTTGTAGATTATACTTGTGGTATCACATCTAAGAACTCTTTAACAAACCCAAAGTTACAAAGGATTTTGTCTATGTTTTGTTTTACACATTTTGTAGTTTTACTTCATACACTTAAATCTTTGGTCCACATCTTTGATCCATTTTGAATTATTATTTTTTTAGATGTGAGGTATGGGTCATGGTTTTTCAGTTGTCTTCTTGTTTATTTCTATTAAATGAATATCCAGTTAATTCCAGCACCGTTTGTTGAAAATGTCTCCATTTTTCCATATTTCCCCATTGAATTGCCTATGAATCTTTTTCCAAAATCCATTGTCCATATTTGTATGAATATCCTTGTGGATTCATTGATCTGCCCCACCCTATGATTGGTATGCACATTGCAAGAATTGGTCAACAGATTATGTAAATGAGGTGACTATCCCTACTATGCAAATGAAGTATCTGTGACCTACCAAGAGGAAATTGGTCAGGAGGAGTCATTCCTCTAAACTGACAAGGTTTGTGTATGTGTGCGTGTGTGGATATCTATCTCTCTCTCTCTCTATATATATATGTATCTCCAACCCCACAGAGGTTTTTCAAGACAGAAAGAAGCAGGAAAAAGAAGCAGCAGGACAAAAGCAGAAGGGAGAAGGAATGAAGAGAGAGGGAGCAGAGAGGGAGGAGACAAGGAACTTCCTAAAAGAGCTGTAATACAGGTCAAGGGCCTTAATATGGAAGGCAGAGACAGGCCCAGAAGGGTCCCTGAGGCAGAGTTGGTGGTGATGGCAGCAAGTCTGAAGGTAAAGAGGCCTATCATGAAGGGACCGAAAGGAGATCTGTCCTGAAGGGGCTAAGAGGAGGCCTGCAAGGCTGAAAGGCAGCATCCATGGCAGAGAGAAGAGCCTGCTTGCTTGCCTAACAGAGGTGCTAAGAGACCTGTCTTGAACTGAAGAAGGGAAGGATATGCTCTCTACTTCAGTGGAGGCTTTCAGATTTTACCTGCATGCTTCCTGATTTTACTCCTGAGTTGTACCCTATTACTTCCTTAATGAACCACCTAACTGTAAGTATGGTCTGTGAGTTCTGTGTGGCCATTACAAAGGATTATCAAAACTAGAAAAAAAGCAGTGGTATCAGAATTGCTTAAAAAAAAAAAGTTGGAAAGTAAAGGTATATCTGACCTCCACCTCATAGGAATCAGCTTCGGGCTGATCCCAGTCATCGTGCCTCCCTGGAGTTAGACAGCTTTGGATGCTACTACTATTACTATTTTATAACACCCAAGAATTTAATTTTTCTGTGCTAGTGTAAAAAATATTTAGTTTAATTTTGAATTTCAATTTTCCATTGCTAGAATATAGGAAAAAAATTATGTTAGTATATTTATTTATATTGTATCCTCTGACCTTGTTAACCCTACTTATCACTTGTAGAAGCTTTTGTATATATTTCCTGTAATTTTAAATATAGAGAATGGTGTTGCCTGTGGATAGAATTTTATTTCTTCTTTTGAAATATGTATGCAATTATTATTATTGTTATTATTTTGCCCTATTTCACTGGCTATCACTTCTATTCTTGCATGTATTTTAATTTTAGGTATCAATTTAATAATTATTTGTTACACTTCTAATTCATGCTTCCCAGTGTAGAGATGAATACCACTTACTTTAAGGGCATTTAAACTTGTGATCATATTAAATAAGTGCAAGATGATGTAGGTGTTCATCAGTGTAATGGGAGCAAGTACACTAACCAAGTCTAGGGAAGCCAGAGAAGCTTCCACTCACAAAGTTTTAAAAGTGAAACAAAGATCTGTTGAATGACCAAAAGAGAAAACACATTCTAAGGAGAAAGAACAGCATGCATGATAAGGCTGGAGATTGAGAGAATAGGATGCACTTGGGAAATGATGAGAAATTTAATTTAACTGGAGCAAAG